GGAGTTTGAGACCAGTCTGGGCAGCATGGTGAGACCCTATCTCTATAAAAAAGAAAAAAAATGTCCTTGAGGGAATAGTAAAAGTTACTAATATTACTAAGTTCTTTTAGTAAAAGTTTCTTGGTTTTTTTGAGATGAAGCTTGCTCTGTCGCCCAGGCTGGAGTGCGGTGGTATGATCTCAGCTCACTGTAACCTCTGCCTACTGGGTTCAAGCGATTCTCCTGCCTCAGCCTCCTGAGTAGCTAGGACTACAGGTGTGTGCCACTACGCCTGGCTAATTTTTTTGTATTTTTAGTAGAGATAGGGTTTCACTGGGTTAGCCAGAATGGTCTTGATCTCCTGACCTTGTGATCCATCTGCCTCAGCATCCCAAAGTGCTGGGATCACAGGCATGAGCCATTGCACCTGGCCTAGTAAAAGATTTTTTAAAAGCTGGGTGACAAGATAGGAAGTATTAATAAAGAACTTGCATTGTCTACTAAAAGTACAATGACTGTCTCCAAGAAAAACACTTGTATGTTTATTTGAGTCGTGAGTTAAACTAGCCATTTTTTTCTGGGAACACTTTTTTGTTTGTTTGTTTTTGGTTTTTGTTTTTGAGATGGAGCCTCGCTCGCTCTGTCGCCAGGCTGGAGTGCAGTGGCGTGATCTTGACTCACTGCAACCTCCACTTCCCGGGTTCAAGTGATTCTTCTGCCTCAGCCTCCCAAGTAGCTGGGAGTACAGGTGTGCATCACCATGCCCAGCTAATTATTTTTTTTTCATATTTTTAGTAGAGATGGGCTTTCACTGTGTTGGCCAGGCTGGTCCCGAACTCCTGATCTCAGGTGATCCACCCGCCTCGGCCTTCCAAAGTGTTGGGATTACAGGTGTGAGCCACTGCACCCAGGCCTGTTTTGTGTGTGTGTGTTTTTTTTGAGTTTGGGTCTCTGTTGCCTAGGTTGGAGTACAGAGGCACAGTCATGGTTCACCACATCCTTGAACTTCTGGGTTCGTGTGACCCTCCTGCCTCAGCCTTTCTACCAGCTAGGACTATGGGTGTGTTTCATCACATCTGGCTAATTTTTTATTCTTTTTTGTAGAGACTGGGTCTTGCTATGTTGCCCATAGGGGTCTCGAACTGGCCTCAAGCAATTCCTCTCACCTCCGACTCCCAAAGTGCTAGAATTATAGGCATGAACCACTGTGCCCAGTCTGGAACACCATTTTTATGTGAAATAATGACAGGGTCATTCAGATTTGGGTGTTTGGCAGACATTTTCTTGAAAATTAATACATTGAGCCTGTCACTCTAAAGAAAACAATTGACAGCATTTGTTGGCTTAAATCTGATAAAATTCTAACTTTCAAATGAAAATTTAGAATTTTGGAAAACTTATACCCAGCACTGTGAGATTGACAACTTAAACTGAAAAGACTTCTGATAAGATTGGTGGTGATATTTGCAAATGTGATTTAAAAAATATTGTCAACATTTGTAGGATCTGGATAACCTGGTGAACTAGTATATTCTAAATAACCAATTAAGTATGTGACAAAATAATGCACAAATTAAAAGATCCATTCAAAATTTAAGATACAGACTCGGGCCGGGCGCGGTGGCTCAAGCCTGTAATCCCAGCACTTTGGGAGGCCGAGACGGGCGGATCACGAGTTCAGGAGATCGAGACCATCCTGGCTAACACGGTGAAACCCCGTCTCGACTTAAAAAAAAAAATACAAAAAACTA